CAGGAGGGGGGTTGCAGATTGATTCTTACAACTGCCTCTCCCAATCTACCATAATATCTCCACTTGTTACCAAAGAGATAAAGTGAGACTGCTTATAGCCTGATAGGTAAAACCAGCAAAATGACCTGTTAATGTCGCATTATTTGCCAGTGAGAGTAATATTACCTAGTACCAAAGGCTGCAATAAGTATCAAGAGCTAACAGCTACATAGTACCCAGCATGTATTGAAAGCTAGATATTACTTGAGTGAAGAAAACTGTGCTACACGGCTGCTACACTAATTTATATCTTAAATTTACATGTATAGAATAAAAACTTGATAACATACTCCTCCACCATGTTTCAACCAAGAGTTTGCTGCATTGACAATGGCATCGACATTTTCCTTTGTCAAGTCATTCTGTACAACTTGGGACAACAACAACAACAACAAAAACAACAACAACAACAAATAAAGAAATAAGATACAAGATAAAACGAAACAGAGAAACCTCTCCAGCAATGATCATCCCATCCAGAATAGCTTAGTTAAAGCACTAATATTGTCAAGTTTCCTAATTGTATGTTGTTACTGTATATAAATTGAATGGACACTTAATGTTTCCTGAATTGTTGGAAAACTTATGTAATGTTGTAAGCCTTGTTAACCTTATTTATTTATTCACTTATTTATTTAGTTATTTATTTACCTAGTTATTTGTTTATTTACACATTTATTTACTTTTTGTGTGTTAAGTATTAGTAGTGCCACTGCGTAACTTATACAATGTATACCTGTGTAAAGTAGAGTCAAGTTGTATGTACATGTAATGTAAGTACAAAGAATCCTGTGTAAAGGTTTTTACTTTTAAATGTAATTGAATGTCAATAAATTTCATTAAAAATAATAATAATAATAACAGTAATAATAATAATAATAATAATAATAAATAATAATATCAAAAGATAGATACTTATTTTACAAAATCATGGAGTAACTTACAAAACTGGAATACACAGATAAACTACATTGTAACAACCAAAGGACAAAGATAGGTACAAGAAAACTGTCCTGTCATTATTGTTCTTGAGAACCTGGATTTTGTGGATATTTACCCGTATCCTAGGGAATTCAATGGACCTGTCTGGGCTAGTAGGCTAATAATAAATCATTTGACTGATGGTTTAATACAGAGAGGACAAAATTATTAATTACATGTATTACCCTCTATCCTTTTAGTTGCTTTCTTGTCAAGTGAGGAGAATATGACTGCAGCATGAACAGTACCCTAAAAATTGAATACTAGCAGTTAAATAAAGTTAAGTTTGGTAACAATTACTCTGGAAGAAAACTATTTCAGATGTCTCTCTTTTGATTACAAAATATTAAGCAATTTTGAAAATTTACTAACCTTCATTTGTCACAAAGTAAGAATAAAACACGTTTCAAATAATAAATAATGTTTTTGAACAAGAAGGCAATAGACTGAAGCATTAGAATGATTCCTGCACATGACTGTATTTCACCTGCCTTGGACAAGCAGAGAGGTTAAACCTTCAAG